ATATACACAGTAGCATATGGCAAACGATACTGAGCACAAGATCATTCGCTTCGATGAGCTATTTATGGTGTTTCTGAAGCCATAAAGTTTTTGATTAAGATGAGCAGATATTGCCGCAAGAAATCCAAACATTGTCAGAAGAGATACTGACCTTGCCCTATTTTGTAACACTTTATAATATAACGTTCTCATACGTTAACATTAGCTAACATGAACTAATAATAAGCAATCTAGTTTTTAAAGCATTTATCAATCTTTGTAAATGTTAGCTAATAAAAATACAATTGTTCATTTTTGTTTACAAGTTCATAGGCATTAATGTTAACAGATTACAACTTTTTACTTTTTTAAAGGGGTCATAGGATGCTACATGCACTTTTACAAGTTGTTTGAACTGAAATGTGTGTTGGCAGTGTGTGTACACAACCACCCTATAATGATAAAAATCCACCCAGTGTTTTTTTTTTAATCTGGTTAAATGTTTTCCCCTTTCTCAAATCAAGCCGATCTCAGATGCCTGTCTGTGTGACGTCACACAGACAGGCCCCTCCCACGATAGTTTGATTGACAGTAGCGTTTCAGCACAGCATCTTACCTTAGACCCACCCTGAATGAGCTGTCATCAGTCCGCCAGTGTTTCACCACCAGAGCAGATGTAGACAAGAATGACTCCTAAGCTATTGAGGTGTTCTGTTGTTGGATGTAATAATGAACATAGCAGTCGTCATTTACTCCTGACATCTAAGCCGCTGAACTGGCAGTGGATTTAGTTTGTTTCTGAAGGGAATGCTCCCCCGATCTGCCTAAATGCATCTATGTTCGCGCGAATCATTCATGATCCAGCCTCATCTACAGAAGAAGTGAGTATAATGTTTTGTAATGAATCTTTGCAAATCGCCTTTCCTAATAATGTGCTAATTAGCAAGTTTCACAATGAATGCAGCTAAAGTAAACAGTCTCTCTGAGAGCAGCTCAGAAGAGAGGGGCGGGGTCAGCAGAGCTCATTAACATTTAAAGGGAAATGCTACAAAAACGGCTTGATCTGAAAATAGCTGTTTTTGACAAGGTAAAAAAAAGGTGTTTTTACACTACCATTGAGAAATTTTAACCAAACTATGTTACAGACTTTTCATTAAGACCCTAAAGAATCATATCAACTTGTGGGAAATGGGCATCATATGACCCCTTTAAATTACTTTTTTAATTAAAATTTTTTATAAAACTAACATAGTAAACTAATGTTAGCATATGGAACCTTATTGTAAAATGTTACCTCCTATTTATTTATTTATTTCTATCTCAAAGGGATGTAATGCTTCATATCTTATGGATATGACTAGCCTTTTTGGTTTACTTCACTAATGTTTTATAAATAAAGTTCAAAAATCATTTTCTCATTGTCGTTTTTATGTTCTTCCAAAGCTGTGGAGGAAGCCAGACAAGAGGAAGAGCGAATCGAAACCTACAGTCTTTGCTCAGCGATTTTCTTTCTCTCCTTACGCTCACACACAGTTATGTGGGAAAAGTAGAGCCAACCATTCAATTACCAAGGAAAAATTGTTGTACTTATGATTTAATGTTTGTCCTATATTTTCTCTGGCCTTTTCGCCCTCGCCTTTTAAGACACAGATGTTGCCCAAACATAACAATTCCTTTGTGCAGAGCTGGACATTCTTTTAATGAGAAACACACGCATTTCAGGCCTGAGGAAAAGAACTTCGCTCAACAAGGAATCGTCATGCATTTTATTCTCAGAGGAATCGTCAAAAAATAGATGCAGAATACCTTTAAGACTGACTGGCAATTGAATTTCATTACTATTCTCATATATAATACACTTAAAATTCCGATTGGTCTGCTTTTGTTGACAGTTTCGTCTGGTCACTGTGTGTTTGGAGGCATGTTGTTGAGAGTGAGTGAAAGTATGTGTATGTGTGTTTAAATTCTCTGTCAGAGTATTCATTTCAGAACCACACTTCATAGACTCCTCGTTAACACTGCATCTCCTGCATGTAAGTACCAAACTGAACAGTTTTGCTGTGTAAATTGTGTGTGGGATGCATTTGAAGGACAGCTCAATGACAGATAAACCAGTCCATAAATGACTACATGCCACATTATTAACAATTTGGATCATATCATCTAAGCTTAATTTACTTTCTTAATACACATTCCTGGTCTTGTGAACAATTCATTGGTATGTTCTTGTGGTAACACTTTTTGTAATGTAGTTTAATCTGCTAACATTAGTTAATGCATCATAAATTTCCAATGAACAACAATTTTAAGAAAAGTAACATTTTTATTGTTCATAGTTAAAGGAACAGTTGTGTCATCATTTACTGGTGTCGTTCCAAACCAGTATGACTTACTGTCTTCTGTGGAACACTAAAGAATATATTGTGAGGAATATTTCAACTGTTTCTAGGACAGAAGGGCTCCAAAAAACAAACAAACCAAGAAGGAGTCCAAAAAAAAGAAAGTCATATTAATGTAAATAATGACAGGATTTTCTTAACATTTTTTGAAATGTTAAAAATGTATTAGCATACACTAGCATTGGGGGTCTGGGGTCAATTAATTGAAGAAATTAAGAAATTAATACTTTTAAATGTAAAGACATTTATAATTTTGCAAAAGATTTCTATTTGAAATGAATGCTTTCTATTCAAAAATAATCCTGGGGGGGAACACTGAAGACTTGATTAATGACTGCTGAAAATTGCATTTTAAAACATATTAAAACAGAAATACAGAGCTCTTTTCAGTTGCAATAATATTTCACAATATTATTGTTTTTACTGTATTTTTGGTCAAATAAGTGCAACCTTGGTGAGCATAAGAGGCTTGAACATTCTGTTTAGTTATTATTTAATATTAATTAACACTATAAAGTGTTACCAGATGTTTGTCTTTAAATTCAATTATAATAACTTATGAAAACAAAATGCAATAAATTTCCCTTTCTCTGAAATGGACTTCCTTTTCCATTAATGTCACTTGGGCCACACAGGCAATTGAAAAACGTTAGCCAATCGCTATTTAGCAAATGTATTTATTGTTTTTAGCAAATTCACTTTTGGATATGCAAAACTTGCTTTTTCACAATCCTATCAATTGATCCCACCATTTTTTTTTTTAGCACTGAATATCCTGTTTCCCTCATGAAAAAGCCAATTGAAGAAGTAAAACAGTTAACAAACAGTACTTGCTGACTTGAAGAAAACTTTCATGTACCCCTTTCTCCTGTAAATAATGAAATAACACCATGTTAAAAATAAATACTTGCTTACTTGAAGAATAAAACGCCTTGTGTCCTAACTATCTCCGTGAGCTTTGCCAAGCCCTCTGTGCGATTATACAAACCTACGATTCACCTCAGACAAAATACTAACATTGGAAAATCTATTATGAAATATATCGGTCCTTCACATGAGTTCAACACTTTGTTTCACTCTATTAAAAGCTGAATGAAGCTTTATGAAATAATACCATCTATGGATAAAGAGTTAGAGACAAAATATTGTTCTCATTCCATGTGGTTCATGTAGGTGGTTGCAGCTAGTTTTACGATGTTCTTTATTCGCACTGACTCACTGCGTAACGCTGCCAAGGCATAACACCTGTCAAATGCTTACCAGGTGTGCGACCATTGCTCTGTTGTTTTGAATCAGTTACTAAGACCATACTATTTACACAAAGAATCAAAATGATTATTTTTATTTAGACATGACAGCTCCTGTCATTTCAACATCAGGATAGAAGTCATATTAAAAAAGCCAGCTGTGAGCACTCAATGTCTGATCATTCATCACAAAACAATAAAAGCCATGGATTCTCTGCTTACAAAGACAATAACAGAGCAGTAACTGACCGAGGATATTTTTCAAATATATGATATGGCCGGCAGAACCCGAAACCATATAAGATGACAGACCTTGAAAAACAACAGACCTAAACATCTCAGACACCTCACATCTACTTCCAGAACCGCTTGATTGCTCTTTCATGCACACCCACAGAAAACCCACTTCCAGCCACTAATAACACATTACATGGCAGTTTAATAACATGGGGTTTAGGAACCATTCTGAGCTATGTTATACTTTAATACCCAGAAACGCAACATGACATTAATACTTTCACAACAAGTGGAAGTGTGCGGTTCAGGAGTAGTAACTAAACTAAAAAACTCAACTAAACTAAACTAAAAACTTAAAAAATATATTAGAAGTTAAGCCTAAACTAGAAATGCTGCCTTGGCCACTAATCGAAATAAGTTTAAATTGCTGACTGGAAATAAACAAAAACAACAACAACAAAACAGATCTAAATGGTAATATTAAAAACTAAATAAATAAAAATAATAGAAGCACATAAAATGAAAAAAAAAAGAAACTAAAGTTGAAATTAAAACGGAAAATATCTTTAAAAAATGTCATTCTGATTCAAAATATTAATAAAAACTATAACAGCATACTAAATTAACTTAATAATAATTATTTAATTATATTAACTAAATTAATATAATACTAAAATAACACTTGTCTGTATGGAAGCAACAAAGAAAGTGGTATTTTGAGTAATTTTCCAAGTTAGTACGTGTGAGATATTGAACACAAAAAAAACACTGTCAAACCTAAGGAAAGACCTTCAAAAACTTGACCTAAAATTGATTGTGATTATTTACTCACCCTCATGTCATATCAAACCTGTGTGACTTTCCATCTTCCAGGGAACACAAAAGGAAAGTAAACAAAGCAAGACTACTCTTATACAGTTTTATGATACTTTTATGGTTTTTTTGTTGTTGTTGCTATTATAAAGATGGTCAGCTTCCATGTTCATTCACTTTAATTGTCTAAAAAAATGAGATATATATTTTTGAAGAACTCTTTGTAAAATCCACCTTTTGTGCTCCATTAAAGAAAAAAAAAACAAGTAGAGTGAGAAAGTAATGACAAATTAATTTTTAACTATCCCTTTAAAGTTTTTGGCTATGAAGTAAGTGGAAACTCCACCTAGGGCTGTCCTGCATCTGCTAGTGAGCCCAAGACTGAGATCATTGAGAGTTCAGAACCAGTTCTCTGGGTTGTATAAGGACACAAAGAGAGCAAGAGCCTGCGCTTTAATGCAGAACAGGCCCAGTCGTTTGCTTCTACACACTGTTAACAGACAACTCACAGCGTCCAGCCAAAGAGAAGAGGAGGCCTGGACGTTTACAAGCAATGTGATCCAGATAATGAGCAAATGTGGTTCCTCAAATAGTAGATTAAATCAATGATCTCAAAAAGATGGTCAAATCAAAAGTCACTGAGATCCAGGCACTGACAAATGTCAGAATGTTCAAATATTTTCCATTTCAGCTCAAAGGAGCAATTGTTTCTCTCCCCTCCTTTTGTGATCCTGGTTTTACCTGAATGACTACAGCGCAATCTGGTGGACTGATCAAATCTTTCCTCACTTTAGGTTTGGGAGCTAACAAAAGGGAGAAAAAAACATCAGTTTCAGAAACAGGACAGTGAAAACATTAACACATGCATACATTAACAGATCTCCCTTACCATTTGGGTGTTCCTGTTTATAAAGAGTCTTGAGCATTTCAACAGCTTCTTCTGCTCTATAGCCAGCGATGCACTGTAATAAGCAAATAAGCATGTGCTACAGCAAAAATATGCAATGTGGCCTGGACTACAATTTAGGGAATGTGGATGTTTCTACAAGAAAAATATTCTAGCCACATAGAACGATTCAGAATGTCTATGAGCTGGAATTTAAATTGAACTGGATGGGAATTGGAGGGAAATTATTTTACCTTAAATGAAGTTCCAGTGTGTGGTAAATGATCTGATGAGATGTCCAGGACGGATCCACAGCCTCCAAATCGCTCATTTTTGCACCCATATACAACAAGAGGTATATGTCTGTCTAAATGTTAAGGCATCCTTTTAGCGCTGAGATTATTTGAATACTACCAGACAATAACAACCTGGGATAAATGCAATAATGCATTTAAAATGTACTATTCGCAAGGAAAACTAATCTTTTTGACAACGAAGTGCTGTGATTGACACAAAGATCTACAATACTGCTCAAATGTTTGTGCACCCATATACAACAAGAGGTATATGTCTGTCTAAATGTTAAGGCATCCTTTTAGCGCTGAGATTATTTGAATACTACCAGACAATAACAACCTGGGATAAATGCAATAATGCATTTAAAATGTACTATTCGCAAGGAAAACTAATCTTTTTGACAGCGAAGTGCTGTGATTGACACAAAGATCTACAATACTGCTCAAATGTTTAGTATATGTCAAGTATTAAGAAATTAATACTTTTATTAATCAATGCATCAAATTGATCAAAAGTGACTATAAAGACTTTATAATGTTAGAGAATATTTCTATTTAAAATAAATGCTGTTTTTTAACTTTCTATTCATTTTAAAGAATTCTGGGGAGGGGGGGGTTCTTATTTTTATATATAAAAATATTAGGCAGCACAACTGTATTTAACATTGATTATAATAATAATAATAATAACAATAAATGTTTCTTGAGCAGCAGATCAGCATATTAGCATGATTTCTGAAGGATCATGTGACACTGAAGACTGGAGTAATGGCCAAAAAAATTCAACCCTAACCCTAAATGTGAAATTCAATGGTAAAATTCAATTTGAAATGGTAAAAATAAAATATATCGAAAATGAAAATATTAAAAATGGGAGGGGGGTGGTCTTTTAAATGTCACAATATTACTGTATTTTTGATCAAATAAATTCAGCCTTTGTGGATAAAACAGGCTTTTTTCAAAACCATTAATGGTACTGTATGTGGAAACTTTTCTAAACTAATGGTGAACCACATTTTGGCATCAAGGATACGAAGCAGGCGCAGAGCAGTTGCACACGTGATACATGGCTCCACTGTCACATAGAGTACAGTCTGTTCACACACCTCTATTGGGTCCTTCTCTCTGAAACGGCACCAATCAAGCACTTGATCCAGTGCCACCATTTCTGCATGCCGAGTAGCCTTGGGCAAAGCAGGCACAGACGTGAGGTTGTTTCATCTATTCCAAAGTTTCTCTGTGTTCTTCTACTAGGAAAAACCATTAATCAAAGTCTTAGCATAACAGAAACTGTAATATATAGGTCAATGGCAAATAAGGATGTCTGAGATTATTAAAATGATAAATTATTTTAAAAACTAGTTCATAATGCATCACCAGTTCTTAGAAACTTACATTACGCATTACCACTAAAGTAAAGCATAAATATTTTCCTCTCACCTTAAGTGTGTACACATCTTAATCATGATTTGATTATGAATCACTTCCAAGAAAAAAAAAAGCCTTGTAATGAGACTTTTATTTTTGACGATCTCTAAACAGTGACTCCAACCACACATTTTGACTTTAAGCCACACAAAAAGTCTGCAAGAACCATATTGTTTATGTATTTCTGAATAACTTAACAGATTTGAAACAGCATGTAACGGTTACGTAATTAATACGTTTTGAATACATATACTGAAGCATAAGGTTATAGTCAATTACATTATAATAAGTATTGATGTTGGCTTTTACTTAATTCCAATAACTACAATAAATAGAATCATTATAATTATTTAAATGATCTGATTATAATAATAATAATAATAACAATAAATGTTTCTTGAGCAGCAGATCAGCATATTAGCATGATTTCTGAAGGATCATGTGACACTGAAGACTGGAGTAATGGCCAAAAAAATTCAACCCTAACCCTAAATGTGAAATTCAATGGTAAAATTCAATTTGAAATGGTAAAAATAAAATATATCGAAAATGAAAATATTAAAAATGGGAGGGGGGTGGTCTTTTAAATGTCACAATATTACTGTATTTTTGATCAAATAAATTCAGCCTTTGTGGATAAAACAGGCTTTTTTCAAAACCATTAATGGTACTGTATGTGGAAACTTTTCTAAACTAATGGTGAACCACATTTTGGCATCAAGGATACGAAGCAGGCGCAGAGCAGTTGCACACGTGATACATGGCTCCACTGTCACATAGAGTACAGTCTGTTCACACACCTCTATTGGGTCCTTCTCTCTGAAACGGCACCAATCAAGCACTTGATCCAGTGCCACCATTTCTGCATGCCGAGTAGCCTTGGGCAAAGCAGGCACAGACGTGAGGTTGTTTCATCTATTCCAAAGTTTCTCTGTGTTCTTCTACTAGGAAAAACCATTAATCAAAGTCTTAGCATAACAGAAACTGTAATATATAGGTCAATGGCAAATAAGGATGTCTGAGATTATTAAAATGATCAATTATTTTAAAAACTAGTTCATAATGCATCACCAGTTCTTAGAAACTTACATTACGCAACCACTAAAGTAAAGCATAAATATTTTCCTCTCACCTTAAGTGTGTACACATCTTAATCATGATTTGATTATGAATCACTTCCAAGAAAAAAAAAAGCCTTGTAATGAGACTTTTATTTTTGACGATCTCTAAACAGTGACTCCAACCACACATTTTGACTTTAAGCCACACAAAAAGTCTGCAAGAACCATATTGTTTATGTATTTCTGAATAACTTAACAGATTTGAAACAGCATGTAACGGTTACGTAATTAATACGTTTTGAATACATATACTGAAGCATAAGGTTATAGTCAATTACATTATAATAAGTATTGATGTTGGCTTTTACTTAATTCCAATAACTACAATAAATAGAATCATTATAATTATTTAAATGATCAATAGTTAGGCACATTGTGACGCTACTCATTTCTTCCTTTTCCAATAATCTCATTGTTGTAAACCTTTAGACAGCCAACTGGAACCTCACCATTCTCAAGGGCCTTAAGTGCCTTTAAAAGTAATTCATATGTTTAAAATATTCTCAAAACCATCCAAAATACATTTACCATGTAGGCACACACCATACACATTTACCATGACAACCAAAATAGCACTAGTTGTTATTACAAAAACAACTGTGGACATTTTTCACAAGAAATTAGATATAAACAAATACATGCATACTCAATGCATGTTTCAAAGGCAATGTCATGTTATTTTATTGAGATTTCACAGTAAAAAATAATAATAATGCAGCACTGCAGTAACTACTGTATTTAAGGGGACATGGCAGTTACCGTGGTAAATACTGTTAAGACAAACAATAAATATCAGAGAAATGTACCATGTCAAACGCTTTTGACATCCATGTTTGTATCTCACTATCTAACGGCTCCAGAAAAACACTCTTCTCAGGTTCAACACTATCTGCTTGCATCTCCATCAGTATCCTTAACAAATCTATAATCGTATAAGTTCAATAAAGCAGCACGAATCAGGAAATAGTAGCGTTTTGCTTACATGCACCGTGGCATGCACACGTGTTTACGGGCAGTGTTGCCAACTTAGCAATTTTGTTGCTAAATTTAGCAACTTTTCAGACTACCCTAGCAACTTTTTCTTCCAAAAGCACCTAGCAACAAATTTAGCAATTTTAAACATATTTTTGGCAACTTTTGATAAGGACTCAGACAATAAAAAGGCACACATTGTCCATCCAAATTACACAAAAAGAGGAAACCACAGATGCCAAGCAGTAATTGAGTTAGCTGCTATTTGCAATTGTTCAATTTAATAATAATAATTTGATAATTGAATAATTGTTCATTTATGATACACTTTGTTAGTAGCTTGTACCTGCGATTGTTGATCAGTTAGTACACTGTAAGAAAAATGGAAAATCTGTCAGGACATTATCCATTATCCATCATCCTTTGTAACCCTGTAACCTGAAAACACAATGTGTAATTTAAAATACAGGTAAAAAAAACATTATGGAAAATTCTTTCATATTAACAGTAGATTGTGCCTTATTTTTTTACAGACTTTTCTTAGACTAACTAACTACTAATACACTGCTTAAAGCATAATTGTTGAGAATGTGTAGAGTTTACTAGCTACTAAAAAAACTTAAATTGTAATCATTTAAAAATGTGTACGTTTTCAATAATTCACTGTATTTAAAAATACAGTTATTTATATTTTAATATTATATCATGCATATTATTTTAAAAAACAAATCTAATTTAACATACCTAAAATATATTTTTTGCTGAGGTTTGATGATGTGACAATTATGCGTGGTGATTACGCAATGACATCATTGAGCAATGACATCACAACGTCATTTAGCAACTTTTAGTGAAATGTGTGTTTTATCATTTGAATGATGAAAGTATATGCCATCTTTTTTTATATAATGTATTTGTACTCAATTATTCTGGTGTGATTTTAAGATCTTCTTTGAAGAGATTTCGGGAATTGACATTACTTTAGAAGATAAGAATGTTTTATTTTATTATGATAAGCCTTTAGAGATGAAATTATATTTTTGTTCTTAATTTGTTTATTATATTAGGGAAATATCACATTCATAAATGCCGATGGTCAAAGAGTACACCTAGTTTTTTACCGTTTAAATTTGAGCTCTGTCAGTATCTTAAAGTGATGGAAGATGTAAGGAACTCTAAAGCAAAAAAGACTATAGATTGTTGTACAGCCTTGAAACTTTATCCTTTTTAAGGACCTTTGCACTTATTTTGTAGTTAGAGATATGGATTTGTTCTCAGTACCCCTCTGTACATACGTATATATATATATATAGTCCTTTTTTTTCTTTTTTTTTCTTTTTTTCTCTTTTTTTCTTCTTCCTTAATTTGCATTATTTTTTTTACAATCATTGTTTCTTTGAATTTATTGAAATGTTTGCTTTTATTGTCAATTTGTATGTGAATTGTTACTAAATAAAGCATTAAAAAAATTTTTAGCAACTTTTAGCAACAAATCGACCTTCCTTTAGCAACTTTCTCTGAAAATTGGTGGCTACTTGTACCTGGACAACTCTGTGACAAAGAATGGAATGGTATGTCAGGGCTTGGTGTTTTAAAGGCAAAGCAACCTGATTTTACCATGTTACAGCATGTAAATGTTACTTCATTTCTCTTATACTGCTACTTTAGACCCCCTTAGCCCCTCCTGATGTTCAACAACAATATCTGTCAAGTATCCAGCACCTTCTTGGAGAAGGTGAGGACAATGTCAAATCTGTATAAGAGCGTTTAATCTGCATTAGAGTTTAATCCTCAGTTTATGAGGTCATTGTATGGAAGAAAAATAATGACAAATGTTGAATTGCACTAACTGAAAAAACATGCATTGCATTAACAGTGCTTGCAATTTTTTATGCCTTGTATTTTCAGGGCTGAAATTTAACATAGTTGTTTATTTAAGCTGTGAATATTTCAATTCAAAACATTTCACACACATTTTCATAATTAAAAATTCTATAATTCATATTCGCCTTCCAGAATTCACTTCCGAGATATACAATCTGTTTAAAAATATGATGTATAATAATATTTCACTTTACAAATTCAGTGGTTCAAATTCGGCAGAAAATTCAGCATTGTACATCGGGGAACTGCAGGTATAACAATAGAGGACTGATGCATGATCTCCAGCTGCTGTTAGTCGCTCACCAGAAGGTGGTGCAAGCGGGTGTTGATGAAGACCAAAGCAACAGGTAAAGCAAGTCATCATTCACAAAAACTGATTTGCAGAAATGGAGCAAGCGGTATGTAGAAGATATGATTATCAGGACCAGTATGTATATGTGGAAAAGCTGTTTAAGACACAGAAGCTGTTTACATTTAATTCAGCACCTTCACTGGTACTGTTATATATCATAACGAATATTATACATCATATTTTTAAACAGATTGAATATTTGGCAAGTGAGCTCTGGAAGGTGAAAATGAATGACAGAATTTTTAATTATGAAAATGTGTGTGAAATGTTTTGAATTGAAATATTCACATCTTAAATAAACAACTATGCTGATTTTCAGCCCCTAAAAATACAAGGCTTTAAAATGCAAGCACTGTTAATGCAATGCATTACTTTATTCAGTTAGAGCTATTCAACATGCTTTTTTGTTTCAAAGACATTTGTCATTATTTTGCTTCCTTATCATTTCCCCTGTAGTTGATACTGATCTTCATTTTTTGTCTTTTCAGGGCTCATCGAACTGATAACAATGGTGAAGAAAGCTGTCCAGGAAGTTCTTGGACCGTATGTTGAGTGATTGATTAGATCATGAGTAGATTAAAATTCATTCATCATCTAATCCAGGGATCCTCAAATCTGGCCCACGAGATCCACTATCCTGCAGAGTTTAGCTCTAACCCTAATCAAACACACCTGAGCAAGCTAATCAATGTCTTCAGGATCATTAGAAAATCACAGGTAGGTGAGTTTGATCAGGGTTGGAGCTAAACTCTGCAGCGCATTGGCCCTCCAGAGCAAGATTTGAGGATCCCTGGATTAGATGATGAATGAATTTTAATCTACTCATCCCATTCTCGTGGCTTTATTTGCCATTGCAGCTATTGTGTTGTGTCAGTCTTCCTGTATATTTAGCAGGAAAGTCCATGTCTCCTCAGGGTGTCTCTGAAGCAGAGTTTGTCCCTACAAGAGTTGGAGCAACAGTTAACTCAGATCAGACAGTTAGTGGAGGAGGGCTGTTCTTCCTCTAAACACAAAAGTCTTTCTTGGTACATGATGCCTGATGAAGAGAACACACTAGCCTCACAGGTAGAGATATATATCATTTATTTGTTTTTATTTCTGAATTTATTTTATGTATAGCTTCAATTATATGCATACATGTACACTTATATAATATAAAGTATACATATATAATATTTTGATTCATGATACACTACCAAAAACGTTTTTTTTTTTATTCAGCAAGTACACAATAAATTGATCAAAAGTGACAGTAGAGACATTAAAATCTATTGTTACAATAGATTATATCTATAATCTGTAATCAAATAAATGTTGTTAATAACTTTCTATAATACTTTCTATACATCTAGAATCCTGAAAAAAAAAGTATGACATTTCATTATAAAATAATATACAATTAAATTTCATGAATTTTAATAAGACTTTTATAAGAATAAATTACATTTTATTTATATTACATTACATCACATTTTACATTTTCTTGGTTTCTATCTATCTATTTTATTTATTTCTATATACTATTTTTTAGGCTTGTGGTCTCACAGAGAATGATGTCACAACAATAAAGCTGCTGAATGAAACCAGAGATATGCTTGAAAGGTGAGGGAAATCAAGGCACCTATATAAACCTACAGTTTAGAAAATTGGAAATAAAAAGTTGGGACTGTTGAAAGTTTAAAATAATAATTTTTTTACTGAACACCTTAACACATTTAGTTACTTTTTAAAGGAAATCCATAACTATATGAGCTTTTGTATGAAAAACACAATTCTGGATTCAAAGAGCATAAATAAAATAAGAAATGGAATGATAGAAGATGAGACTAAATTGGTTGAAATCAGTAGTTTTATAGAGATCACTTCAGCATAGATATGTACTAATTACAACTTTTTTTTGTTTTCAGTCCAGACTTCACTACTGTATTCTGTACTTGCTTGAGCCGAGGCTTTATCCGATTCCTAGACAACATGTCAGAGTTTTTCCGACCCCCACAGGGGGACTCCAACCCTTCCAGCACACCTGACCGGTCAGTGTACATGAATGTATTTTTTTTCAGGAAGGTTCATACAGTGACCCCAAAAAGTATTTGGACAATTAAACAACATTTAAGCCATTTTATCACTTTCCTAAGGCCAATATATTTCGGGTTTGCGAACAATATTGGTGATGTAAAAAAAAAAATCATTCCTGTTTTTCACATGCTTTTCTTCCAGACTATCACATGTAAGCCTCCCACTAGCCAAAATCATTCCCATCATCAACGGACAGATACATTCAATATGCAGCGAAATACCCAGTCATTTTGTCCAAGTGAGAACCTTCATATGCATTGACTCATTTTGACTTGCATGTGGCATAAAAGCTGCACACACACACCAATGTTTGCTTTCTTTCTTGTTTTTAGGATCTCTTATTGATAGACCAGGTGAAAGAGTTTGCCGCCAATGTGTACGAAACGTTCAGCACGCCTCAGAAACTTCAGAATTAAGCACAGGACTGAGCAAGATGTGAAAGCCGAACTCCTTACAAATCTACTTTCAAGAAACTCTCATGCTGTACAGCACAGAATTGTTCTCCTCGCACACCCTGAAATCGACCCGGGGGAAATGAACTCGCGGCTGTTCTGAGAGACGAGTGTGTAATGGAGTTTAGATCCTCTGTTGTTAGCAGGCATTCCGTATGGGCTAGTTTCTCCTGACCTGCTAGCTGTCCTGTTTGTATGTTGTGACCCCCTAACCTTGTCCCAGCCAGGCATGCCAAGGTTTTTACATGCTATAATAAACTGTAGTACATTCTATTTCTTTTTTAAATTCCTGTAGCATAACATTTTCATTAGATAACTTGTCACGCCATGGCTAGCATAAAAGATAATACATACATAATGATTTCCCTTGCATTCACATCTGCAGGGTAGGTTTCAAAGGGTGAATTGTGGACATTTTGTATATGATATCTCTGAATCTGATGTTGCAGCTGCTGGACGCTCTCCAGGACCAAAACACAGTCATGCTCACCTACAGTAACAATGCATGATGATTGCACTTTTACTGCTATAAATAATGCATATTGGGAGTATTTTCAGTTGTATTTACTAACGAGAATTGTTGGACTGTTGTTTTTGTTTTGCAAACTGTACAGGATGTAGTATGCTACTCCTTTTGTAAAATGACCCATGAATGTTAATAAATAATATTATAATTAAAATGATGCATTATTTTGATTAGAAAACTCTTTTTTGGCTTTGAAAAATTAAGCATTATTGAACCAACAGGCTGCTTTCTTACAGTAAAAGAAATAACCTCTTCCTTGTAATAAACCTCTCCCAGATTCCTCTAGAGGGTAGCACATATCTATAATTGAGCTCATAGCAACTAAACAACTAGGTCACATCAAGTTCAAACAATAAACTTTCTACAGAAATAAAATCAGGAAGAAATTAAGCAATATCTGACAGAATAGATGCCTAAACATGTGGGAAGCATATGACGAATGCTACTGCATAAAACACAACCCTATTGACACAATACTTCCTTTTACCCTAAAAAAAACTTTTGTCTCTTGTGGATAAGACTATATGCCACCCTTTACGTAATGTACCTAAAGAAATGAATGAATACATTAAGAATAAATAGATATTTGTTCACATCATGACATTGCATACATATTTGATTTGTCAGTTTAGTTTGTGATTATATTTGTATAATTTTAAGAATGTTATGGCCACAAAATAATGAATGTCTTCATTTATTTTTTACGCCAAGGATTTATTTGATTAAAACAAAACAGAAAATACAGTAATATTGTGAAATATTATTACAATTTAAGTTTTCCATTTGAATATATTTTAATATGTATTCGTGTGAATTTTCAGCAATCATTACTCCAGTCTTCAGCGCCACATTATCCTTCAGAAATCATTCTAATCTCTAAGATCATTCTTATTATTATCAATGTTGAAAACAGTAATATTTTTGTGTGTGATAAATTTTTTTTCAGGATTCTTTAATGAAAAAAAACAAAACAAAAGGACATCTATTTGAAATAGAAATTCTAACAAATATTCTAATAAAAAATGTAAAGGTATTTTACTGTCATTAATCAATTTAATGCATCATTTTTGAATAAAAATATTATTTCATTAAAAAGAAGTACTGACCCGAAATTTCTGATCAGTAATACCGTGTGCATTTTGTTCCATTTGTAATTTAAGACTAAATAAATAAGTTAAATTAAATAATTAATTAATAATATTTGAAATTTTAATCTAATAAAGCAAAATTCAGCCAAATTAAGACCTTTACAGTCATCTAGATTTTAGGGATATGGTATAATCTGAGCTGATAAAGAAATAGTTCACCCAAAAATGAAAATTCTGTCATCATTTACTCACCGTTATGTTGTTCCAAGCACGTATGATTAATGATTACAGAATTTCATTTTCACGATCCCTTTTAATGCAGAGTTGACTGTCACTATAGTAAGTGTACAGTAAATTGCTTTGGATAAGAAAGCATCTGCGGGATGTACAGTCAGGTTCTGAGGTCAGCAAGTCTTGTACCAGACACAGTGCTAAGCACAAGCCTATGGAGAAAACAAGTAAATAACATCAATTTGAGACATCATTCGGGCAGCTATGTGGGTCAGTTTGTGGCTAATACCACAGCTGATACCTACACACCAGCCAAATGTACAGGAAAAGGAGATCAGAAATTTAGTGATTCAAAGTTTATAAAAAAACAGACCGTCAAACTGCCAATAATAATAGGCTAGACAGCTAAAACTGCACTGGGTCATGCTTAGGACAGTTTTTTTGACACGGGATGAGCTATATATATATATATGAGGAAACAGCAAGAATGGGCTCATTGTTGCATAAGCCTCCTGAATATGCTGAATAACTATGAGGGTGTTTTCTATATTGCAAATGCCACATGAAGCACCTCCTGTCACATGACTCACTCAGTGCTCAGCAAACAGGAAATTCCCCTTCATCACATGACACGGGTCTTTGCTTCTGTCCCGTGACCTTTTTACTGAAACTGTTTACATCAAGTACAGGAATATAAGGGAAGCATCTTCTTGTAATCATTGTAAAGACTGAATCACATTATCTCTGTTTGTTTATGCTAGCCTAGTGCAGGACTAAGCAATTTATTGTTAATTTCTGGATTTTAAAGTGCTCTCTAAAAGGCTATAACTTATTATTCTTGCCATATGTACAAAATACTCAAACATTTGTATAACTTTTATAATGTATAACTGTTATGCTTTTATAACAGTGCCAGACAAAGAATATAACAAAATATTTAAGAATGGGGTGAGGGTTTGAAATCTGTTGGTGTGGTGAAGAAATAACACACTTCACCTTTAAATAATCATGCTATGAACGTAGAAAGTGCAATTTAGAATGCAAAGTGTATACTGCTAATGACAACAACAACAAAAAAACATGACTCGTTTAACAGGTTTATAACAGGGTTTTTAATCTTTTAGATGCCACGACCCCCTAAATATGATCAACCTCATGCAGAGGACCCCATCTTAAAATTGAAAATGATTTATATTATATAAATTATATTCTTTATATTCATGATAGCACTGTACTATTAGATGCATTATTTCTTTATTCACTCGTTTATTTTAAACTCATTTTTATTTATTTATTTTTGTTTATTATTCTATTCTCATTTGTATTCATTTCATTCTTATTTTATAATTAATAAATTTATTTAATATTAAATACCCCCCCCCGGGTATTCCCCGACCCTAGTTTGAAAACCCCTGGGTTTATAAGATGACAAGTCTTCTTTGACATAATAATAACATAGCTTATGTGACATTACAACAACAACAACAACAAAAAAGAAAAAAAATGTATATGTGATGAGAATTTTTCTTTTAGATAATAATCAGGAAGAGCTGGGACAGGGCATTTTTGTTTTGCTGCTGTTCTATGACTCATCTGCCTTTACCTGCATTTCCAGAGTCCTGTTACTCTCTGACTCATCATGATGTCAGATTGCACACAATGAACTCATGGTCACATGAGCTCATGCAAGTTAATATTCTACCAAATTGTGATTTATGACATACTGTATAAGCAGGCTTGAAAACAATACATGTGTTGAAAAATAGTCTACAGTATACAGAATTGTATTGTGCGCTGAAATTTATGAATAAGCATTTTTAGAAACAGATATTACTATTTTGTTAGAAACCTTTACACAATTTTACCTGTGCTGAATCTCTTGTAAAAGTAAATGTGTATATACACTAACCTTGATTCAGATATAAAGAGACTATTATCACAGGTAAGGCCAAGCACAGGGATTTGGCTTCAGTCCTGCACTGCCTTGTTGGTTGTGGACATGCCCTGACCATGTCCTTTTCCTGCACTGATTGGCTGATCTCAAGGGATTATCATTAACTATTAATCCTATGCTGCAATGATGCCTACTGTAGTCACACCACAGAGCAGTCAGATGATGTCATCTCACCTTAGCAAGCTGATTGGCTGAAGCCCCTCGTGCATCTCTGTGCATCTCTGTGCTCACCGTATCAGTGTTATATCATTCAGAGCTAGATCTTTTACAGGCAGTCACGCGACTTCTTAAATATGACGTGACTCTTAAAGACTAAGTGCAGTGGTTTTTATAGGAGGCCTGTGCTGCTTCAATTCCCTGCTTGAAATAAAATACCAGAAATTAGGGCATGTTACGTTCTACATGCCAGTAAGATGTCAAATGTCCCACTTAATCCAGTTCTTCGAATTTACAGCAAATTGAAGAAGTGAGGAATGGGAAATGAATGAGGAAAATGAGGTTCGCCTGAGGTGATGCTCACTGGATGCGAAATGAGAAAAAACTCCATGAAAACTTCCTTAGTCACAGAACAAGCTGCAATATACTTTCACATCTGCAGGAAGCAGACAGTAGAGTAGCGTAGTTTACTTTACCATAAAAAGAAGTTTCATTCTAAATGGAAACCAAAAACTGAAGACAGCAAAATTAGTGCCTCCGAAAAGAGGAAGTCCTCGCTAAATGTGTTTCATTACATGCATTACGTTCCAAGCGTGATACAATTTGGTTTCCTTATGAATTACGTAAGGCATTTATGCTTTTGTGGGGAATGAGCTTTAGGTATTTTGATGAGACTAGGTACGTTTGCACATAGGACCGAAATAACAAAACGCAGGAGGCCTGCTGGAGAAAGAAATGAGGTCACGGCCCGTGACGGGGTTGGGAATCCTGGCTTTCCCTACTTTGACTGTCTGCCACGAAAGTCTTTTGGGCGGGAGTCCGTCACTATGGGCGCAGCCGGTGTAAACACGTACACAGTGCTGTGGTGTGTGTACCAGGGTGAGGGCAGTGTGAAGGTAGCACTGAGTTAACTGGGACTTTATAAATAACTATGAGCCCTACAGCTGTCTATGTCACATATGTAAGAGGAAAGCTATAAACTATTATTTAGAGAAAGCAGTGTCAACATTTATACTGAGCAAGTGATGCTACAGATATTTGGGCACCATTGCTGCTGAGTCATTTAAGACAATGTACCTTTTAGTATTACCATTAGCAATTAATTTAAAAAATACAATCAAAAATGACATATATTATCATATTCTACAATATAATACAATATTATATCATATTATTATACACAAGATGAAGAACGTTCCGTATCCACTGACAAGGCTGGTTGGAAAATATGCATCTCAGCCCACACAAAACTCTTCCTAAATATAGAAATACAAAAGAATAAACCACATGTCGTCATACTTGAAATATGTGCAATTATTTAGTCACTTTGAGGTATATGAGTTGGAAGCCCTGAAACCATCTGGAATGACTTGTTTTGCTTCAAGACCCAGATTTTACATTGGACACCATGTGACGACCCAACATATTATAAAAATGGTTTATCACAGGGTTCCTCAAATCTTGCCCTGGAGGGCCAATGCGCTGCAGAGTTTAGCTCCAACCCTGATCAAACTCACCTACCTGTGATTTTCTAATGATCCTGAAGACATTGATTAGCTTGCTCAGGTGTGTTTGATT